ACAAGAGATTCGAGATTCCCGGGCTATTTCTCGCAATTTTAATTGGGTTTAGATTGTTTTCTGCTAACTCCTTCTTTAACAGGTGCACTAGTCCATCCGCAACAAAGAGGAGAAGGTAGGGGCTTAGCGGATCTCCTTGACATAGGCCACGGGACGGTAAGATAGGTTCCAATAGCGTGCCATTACATCTCACTGAGTATCTCACTGACTGGACGCACTGCATCACTCACGTAGTCCATTTGTTGCAAAAACCAAACTTCCAGAGAACTCCTTCGAGGAAGCACTAGTCCACTTGATCATAAGCTTTTGCAAGGTCCAGCTTGTATGCACAATAGTTGTCCCTCTCTTTTCGGCAGTGTTGTATCTTATGGAAACACTCAAATGCAATGATAGCATTGTCTGTAATCAATCTTCCCGGAATGAATGCGCTCTGTGTTTCCGAGATGATGTCTTCAAGAATAGGGCGAAGGCGATTCACTAGGCACTTTGAGATCACCTTGTAGATGACATTGCACAGACTGATAGGTCTAAAGTCCTTCAGTGTTTGAGGGCCTTTTCCTTTAGAATGAGCACTACCACTGTGTCGTTCATTCCTTCTGGTAGTTCACCTCTCTCAAAGAAATCCAGCACACCTCTTATGACGTCCTCTTTTAGATCTCCCCAGTTTCTATGGAAAAAGCATGCCGGAAAACCGTCCGGGCTGGGGGCTTTAAGCGGACCAATTTGGAAAAGTGCATCACCTATTTCCCCCTCTGAGAAAGGTTTCGTTAACATGGAATTCATATCCTCATTCACTCGCTCAGCTACCAGATCCAATATGTCTTTTGGATCGATGCCCTCTTCCTTCTTGTATAGGTTCTTGAAAAACGAATTTGTTAATGCATGTAAGCCCTGATCGTCCTCAACCCAGTTGCTCTTGTCATCTTTCAATTTCAAAATAGTATTTTTCTTCTGTCTCCAAGTGGCCTTCCGGCGGAACCACCTGGTATTCCTATCTCCCTCATGCAGGTATGTGGCCCTCGACCTCTGCCTCCACATAAGTTCCTCCCTGAGAAGCAATTCATCTAGTTCTTTTGACAGATTCACTGTTTCCTCCTCCAGTTCAGTCGACTACGGTCTGCTCCATATTCTATTCAGTTTCCTTCGCACATCTGCTGTTTTCCTCAAGACTGACCCAAAGTCTCGCTGAGCCCAGTCCCTTAGCTCCTTCTGCATGCTCTGAATTTTATTACCCAACATTTGTAGGTTCTCAGCCGTCCCATTTCTATTCCATGCTGAAGTGATGGTCGGCTGCAAGGTTTCAACTCTCTCCCACATCTGTTCATATCTGAATATGCTCTTATTTTCCTGTCCCACCCATCTCCACTCTTTCCTGCTTCCAAACCGCAGCAGAATGGGGAGATGGTCCGACCTCGAGGAGCAAATGTGCTCCACAGATGCATTTTTGAAATAATCTGACCACTCCGGAGACGCAACACTTCTGTCCAAGCGGGCTCGCAAGTTGTTGTTTCCTTGCTCCTTATTGTTATAGGTCCATCCCGGGCCTTTAAATCCCAGGTCATAAAGGTTGCAGTCCGCCAATGCTCTGTGAAAGTTCTCCATATATCTCTCTGATCTTTTTGAGGCAGAAAAGTGTTCAGATTGCCACATTGTTTCATTGAAGTCTCCCATCATGAGCCAAGGAAGGTTATTTTTATCCTTGATTCTTCTTAGTAAAGTCCACATGAGATGTCGTTCATGAGCTTTTGGTTCACCATATACAAATGTCCCCCTCCATTGCAGCCCATTAGCATTTAACCTGATCAACAAATCGATATATCTCGCCCCCGCGGCAATCTTTTTTATTTCCACACTATCATCATAGAATAGGGCAATGCCAGCACCTTTTCCGGTGCCGGGTTGCATGATACAATGGCGAAGGCCAAGCCTCCACTTTAGGTTCGAGACATTATTATTTTGCTGAGTTTCAGTGAGGAAGACGAGCTTGGGCTTATACGTGTGAACGAGGCACACGAGTTCTTGAACTGCCCCGAGGTTGCCCGAGGCCTCGGCAGTTCCAGCTCAAGATTGTCATGGCTCCTGGTGGGTGCCCTCCTCGGCGCCCACCAGTTTACTGGGAGCCCCTGGCCCGGTCGCTTCCATGTTGCCATCTCTGCCCTCTTCCACCAGCCCTGCAGCACACACCTTTTTATTCTTATCTGACACCCCCTCTGTCTCTGCTAACTCTGAATTCGCTGCTTCATCCTTCTCTCTGCCTCCCCTCTTGCCCAGAACCGAGTTCACCTGCCCAGACTTCTTCTTGCCGACCCTGCTGTTATTGAACATCTTCTTGTTAAACAGACCCTCAACGGTCCAAACCTTCTCTTGCTGGGTGAAGCGCGGAACTGGGCCGAAACTAGGAGGGAACGCCGGGTCACCCACATCCACCACAGTATTTCCAGAGCCCTCCGTTACTATATCAGCAACTAACGCAACATGGACTGCCACCATTGCAGGTTCAGGCGGGGTGGGTGCCAGTCCAAGGTCAAGGCTCAACAATGGGTCAAGTTTGTCCATCATCGCAGCCTTTGCCTTAGTAGCAGTCTGACCGCTCTCCTGGCCTCCATCCATCCCAGCCCCAAAATAAGGTGGGTTCAGACTCAGAGCCAAATGGTCGCCGACAACAACAGTTGTGGCTTGCTTGCTGGGTTCTTTTTGGCTTGCAGCCCTTTCTGGAACCTGATCCTTGCCTTTTCCACCGCCATCAGACACCTTCAGGGCACTAACAGCTGCAATCGCTGCCTGCACGAGCGGGTTAGACAGGATTTCTTCAGAGACCATCTCCTGGTCCTGTTTGGCCTGGGTCCAGGATCCCTCCCAATGAGCCTCTTTCCCGAAACTGAGCAGCCGGCGAGCACTAGACGCTACTGGGGCCACATATCCCCCTCTACTGTTGCTCTTCTTATAAGGGGAGGCGCGCATCGTTGCCGTATACCTCATCTCTTGGAGGTCCTCCGGCAACTTACAATCGCGTTGGCCATGCCCAAGGAAACCACAGTAACCACAAAAACATGGCACTCTCTCATACTTAACCTCTAAGAAAAACAGCTCATTTTTTGGCTTATCATGCGACCTGATCCTACACCGCAATGGCTCATCTACATCATGATTGATACGAACTTGGATGAAATCACCCCAAATCTTACCATTGTTATTGGTGTCAACTTCAAGGACCTCCCCAAGCATGGCTCCCAGCTTCCATGCCACCCCTTCATCCAGCATGACCGGAGGCACATCATGGATGTGAGCCCAAATAGGCATGTGGGCAACCTCCACGTCGCCCGGGCGCGCGCCACCATCCACGGTCACCATCAGGAAGGCGTCCCCCTGGTGAGTCCAGGGGCCATTGTTGAGGATGAAACGCCGGTCACCCTCCCTCTCGAACTCCAAGAGGAAGCGGTTGTTCTTGAGGGGTTTGTAGTCGAGTCACCCCCGGAGACCCCACTTGCCCTTGAGCTCGCCGAAGAGTCCTTCGTTGCTGTAGGGCAGGGGCGAGAAGTAGAGCCCTACAGCTATCCACCTTGTCCTCATGGCAGCACGTTCCTTGGTCAGGTCCAGTTCCACCACATCATCAACCCGAGGGTCAAGGTGGACCGGGAACCTTGGGGCAACGACGTCGCCACCGGCGCCAAGCCTCCTCAAGCTCGCCCTCTCACCCTGGCGGGAGGACTCGCCACGGATCAGCACTGCCGCTAGGTTCCTCCCACCAGAGGGGCGGAGGGAACCGTTCACGCCTTCCATGGGGGCCTTGTCCTTCTGGTTCTGGTTCGCCATTGGCAGAGGGGAAGCACTAGGTGGTTTGGGCTGGATGGGGTGTGTGATTGTGCCTCTGCAATCATCGACCTTTATACCCAAGTTACTTTGATCTGATTCCTTTCTTTCTCCTATCTCCATTGATGGGCTCTGCCTCTCCGGGCGATCTCTTACCTTCATCGCCGATTCTGCAATCCCACCTCCCTTATCCGGAGGATCCTTCCCGCATGATCCTGGCGACTCCGGCAGACTAGGGTTGATATCTTTCCCCCCGAGCCCTAGAGCTAGCTTCTCCTTCATTGTTTGTAATCTGTTCCTGATCCTTCTTACAGTGTCCCCGGATGGATCCGGGTTTCTCCTTGCCATCTCCGTCAGATTCCGACTAGTTTTCTTCCTTTCCTCGGCGATCCGGGCGATCCTCTTCCTCGTCTGGAGCCATGCATTCCTCAAGCCCAAACGGATCTCCTTCCGTCAGCGCATCCCTTCCATCGATTTCCCCTCCGATCTTACCCTCCAGTCTTTCAGATCTCTCCGTCGGTGCTCTCTCCCCGCTCACGATCGGGAATCGCCGCACCGTCGCCCCGACAGCGGCTCCGTGAATCTCGCCCATCAACGTTTTGTTTTGATGTTAGAACATCCACATGTCATATTTCTTGTAAAAAAAAATTTTGAGGCGGTCGGACCACCCTGATGTCAAATGGATGACACCTGAATCCAGCTCCAAGAGTAAAAAAAATAAGAAAGAAACTCATCTGCGCCAGAGAGGTGACACAGGCCGCCAAACTGCCGTAGTGTGCAAGGCAAAAACTTGGAGAGTAGTCGCCAACTCGCCATATATAACTTGCCCGAGTTTTTCCGTCGAGCACGGAAGGCCGGTATCGGTCGGTGTTGACACCTCCTCGATCGGGCCAACTTGGTTAGAGATGTCCATTTCCGTTCATCCATATATCTTGCCTCTGCACAGTTGCTTCCTCCGGGAATCAAGTCGGTTGTGATCCGGACTCCGATCGACCGATCAGAGTGTTCGGACTCGTTTAACCGTGCCCGCCAAACCCCGGCGAATTTTCCAACAGGAATCTGTGATGTCAAGGCTAGCTCGGTGCGTGGCAACTACAGTAGTACCACCCCCTCTGCATGCATCCTCTGCCTATATATACTGGAGTGTCTCCATCTGCCTGGAGAGAGCACTGCATCGTCTACCAGCTGCAATGCCAGCGATCAGCGCCACCACCGTCTTCGTCGTCGCCGCCCGACCGTCGCAGGCTCTATGTAAGCAAGCTCATCATCCATGGAAAATGTTGGTCGATCGCGTCTCATGTCATGTCTTAAGACTTAACCTAGCTAGCTTGTTATCTAGTTGTTGGTAGCAGCATGAAGTTGCGCCGGCTGAATCGTGCGGCCGTGTCAAAGGTTGTTGTTACTCGATCGCCACCTTGCTATCCGTAGTGGAGAGCAAATAGCGTATCAGGCAGGAGAACGTGCGTGTCGTTGGAAATATAGGCAAATTACAACGAGATTTAATCCGAATAAACACAAGATAAATTATGACCACAACAGCAGAGATTAAACTAATCACGCGAACTAGCATAGCAGATGAACATAACACATCTAGGGCACATATTAGAAGCATGAATTCTACCACGATCTCGAACAGGAAGGATAGAATCACATACGGTGCAGCGGGTGCAGCACCGCCGGCGTTGATGCTGTCGCCCATGTCGTCGAGGACGAGGTTGCCGAGGTCGGGGAAGAAGTCGTCGTTCGCGAAGTCGTCGCTGCCAGCAGTCGCTCGAGTGCGCTCCCCAAAAACCTGATTACCCCTCTCCCATACAGGATCACGAGAGGCGGGGTTCCGAAGGCCTGCTGTGCTTTCTCGCGGTGCACGTCGGAAGGAGGGATGGAGAAGACTTGCTTGGCGGCGCAATGATCTGGAACGGTGGTGAGAAACCATACGAAGCGGCGGCGGCTAGGGTAGACTTCTGCCTGACTATATAGTGCGGGCCGGGTAGGTCGTGGGAGTAAACCCCACGTCCGAGTCGTCACGATCCAAAAGAATCGGAAATGGTTCGGTAATTAACGTGTCCGTTAATTATTAATTAATGACTCATTAATTTTCATGCATAGCTCTGTCCTCGGCTCGGCTCAATCCCGCAACCCGCGGCGCGGCGCAACGAGGCGAGAGAGGAGGAGAGCGCGCGTGTAGGTCTCCTCTTCTCATGCTCATACAAGTGGTAGAAGCGCTCACCTTATAAAGAGGTGCAACTCTCTCTCAACTTTCGGGGTGGGACTAAACTTTAGCCTCACTCACTCCACTCACATGTGTGCATGAATGGGCCTAGAGAATTTTAGAATTTTAGTTGGGCTTTGGGTCAAAGGCCTACTAGCAAAATTCCAACACGTGCCTCTATCAAAGGACTTGTAATTAGCAGCTGTTTTTGATCCTTTCTTTCTTAATAGAGAATAACACATCATGCAGTGCTCTGCATGGTTTGAAAAGTCAAGGTGAACAAGAGAAAAAAAGCCAAGTGTGTGTGTGTCTCTTCTTCGGGCAACTCCAACATCATTGCAACATGTCAAATTTCCACTCCCTCGGTTTCAAAATAAATATCGTGGTTTTAGCTCTTTTCAAATTTAAATTAAAACCGCGACACTTATTTTGAAACGGATGAAGTGCTATACTAGCTAACAACGAGACGCTGCATGCAGGGCTGCCTCGGCTGAGAGTGGCCAAGGCCGCGAGGCTGAGGTGCAGGTGCAGCTACTCCAAGGACCTCATGAGAAAGGCGTCTTCAGCTCTGGCTCTGGCGGTAGTCAAGGGCGCACCCCTGCTCGCTGAGGCGAGCGCCATGATGGTGGCGACGGGCCCAGTGCTGGCCCCGGTGCTGGTGCTGGCGCTGGTCGACGAGCAAATCATGCCAACGGAAGGTGCCGGGTTGAAGAATGACCTGCTTGGGTGGATCCTGGTGGTTGCCTTGGGCCTCGCCTTGTCCTACACCGTCTACACCTCCATCCTCGATGACGACGACCAGTCCAGCGCCGGTGGCATCACGACCTGATCATACCGTCATATTCTTCTTCTGCCTGCCGGCCTCATGCGTGAAAGCTTTGCGTGATTTACCATCAACCTATGAAGCATGGATGAATATTGAATACCGAGCTATACTAATTATGGTATAGTAGTACTATGATGACAATGTTAAATACTACTTCCTCCGTTCCTAAATATTTGTTTTTCTAAACATTTCAAATGACTACTACATACGAATATACGTAGATATATTTAAGAGTGTAGATTCACTCATTTTGCTTCCTATGTAGTTACTTGTTGAAATGCCTAAAAAGACAAGTATTTAAAAACGGAAGGAGTAGTAACTAGTACTCCCTCCGTAAAGAAATATAAGTGTTCTTACATTTCTTTACGGAGGGAGTACCAGTTGCAGTCGTACTGGGTGTGACTTTGCAACGCGGATCTCCTTGCCACTATGCATGAAGCAAGTTCAGCGCTAGTAGCTGTATTAATCTATCGTCTAGTTGTGAGTTGTCACGGGCAAGGGTTGTAATAACTAGTTTAAGCTGTGTTATCACATCATTATACTAGCCCTGTCATCAGCAAGGACATTTGTTTCGCTTCTTAGACAACAAGTGAGCTGAGCGCAGTTGGCAAGCTCCTACGTCTCATTGCTGAGCTCGAGAGTTCGAGCCACCATCACCCCACACCCGAAAAAGACCATCGTTATGATGAAACGCTCCGTGGCAACTTGGGTCGCCGCATGTACACCTGAATCTTCAGGTGATATTGAGCAAATCTGAACCTTGGTCTCTTCCTTTTTTTGTTTTTTGTTTTTTTGTTTTGAAGGTCGTTGGTAGCTCCACTCCTGAAGTGGACTGGGGAAGTCTAAATTATCCTTTTTGTACCTCTGTCATCAGTTCCCACCTGCTCGTCCTGCCCCAGGCACTGATTTATTTTGGATTCAGAAATGCTATTCTCCTGCGTATACTTTTACAAAAACTTTTACGTATTCAAAGAGGGATAGTAATTAACCACCCTGGAGCTAGACATGGCAATAACCGTCATTCGATTGTACTGGTGCGTACGATTTTTGTAGATGGGTTACAAAAAATAGGATTGCTCTTTTTGATCTACGCCTGGAAATTTGGGTGTTGAAGAAATGGGAGTACCTTCATTTGTCCTTACACCAGTATGAACCACTCGGATAGAGCTGGGTACTCTATTCTTCATCTTTAAGAATCCACTAATATAAGATGTAAGAGCATTCACAACCGGACTCCCCATACCCGCCTCAAATGTCCGGATGGGCTGTTTGGTCAGTGTCCGGGCGCAAAAACGCCACCCATTCAGGCTCCCCACAACCGGCCCAAAAGCCGGGACTGGCCGTCACTCCTCATATTCAGCCCAAATCTAAGGCGGATATGGGGACGCCCAGACGCGTTTGGGCACCTCCGTCACGTCGGATTGACCTGGAGGGCCCGTGCCAATTCGCCTGTATTTGTCCTCCCCTCCTTGATACTAAAGGTCAGCGCCACCGGACTTAAAAGAATTATATGGTCATCAATGTACCCTTTCAGATTCAGATGAAGATGTCAAAAATGATTAATAAACTTTTATAAAAGCAAGGCCATCTATGTTGCTTTGTAAGGAACATGGACAGTCATGATGTATCTTCTCAGTTTATGAATAAAGAAGATTCATAGTGACAGTCTACAACCTTCAGAAAAGATATGTTGACGACCGAAGCTAACTGCTTTGGGAGGACTCGGCTATTTAAGCCGGCCGCGTCACTCCTCACCACTCTGCGAGGTGGGACTAAATCCCCAATCAAGCCGGCCCAACACTGAAAATCTTAAGTTTTTACTTATATTTTTGAATTTACTGTTCCTGCAGGAGCATATAAGCTTGCGAGTAAATACCCCGAGTCCCTGAAAGTCCCTTTCTCAGCTCGAGCTCAAATGCTCCTGGTGTGAACACTAAAATATCAAACAATTCTACTATTTGTACCATTTCCGTTATCTGTCTTTCGTCGTCCATTGGTCCCTGTCGTGCCAAATCTATAGCGCTCTTGCTGTGTGTACCCTGCCTGCCAACCGTGCTGATTATACCTGACGCCCAACGTCCACAGTTGCTTATTCCGGGAGCCAGGTTGGTCGCGGTCGGACTCGTTTGACAGTGCGTGTTGCCTACCAATCTCCGCGAATTTGCAACAGGAATCTGTAATGTCCAAATTCCAATGCAAGGTGGCAAGTAGCTAGTGACCCATGAACCATGATGATGCAATATGTATACTGGACTGCCCTCTGCCTGGATACACATCCAAATAATTGGCTCTCTTACGATCAGAGAGCGCTACACATCTACAAGCATTAGCAATGGCAACCATCAGCGCCACGGCCGTCTTCGTCGCCGCCGGACCGCCGTGGTCTCCAGGTAAGCAAAAAGCTTGTCATCCCCGCAAAAATGCCGGCCATGTGCAACATGTTAAGTTGCTACTAACTGACAATGAGACGCTGCTGCGCACAGGGCTGCCTCGGCTGAGAGTGGCCAAGACCGCGAGCAGGCTGAGGTGCAGCTGCTCCAAGGACCTCAAGAATAAGGCTTCTTCGGCTCTGGCTATGGCCGTGGTCAAGGGCGCGCCGCTGCTCGCTGAGGCGAAAGCCATGGCCGTGGCGGCGGCCCCGGTGCTGGCCCCGGCGCTGGTTCTGGCGCTGGTGGACGAGCGGGTGTCGACCGACGGCACCGGGCTGAGCCACGACCTGCTAGGGTGGATCCTGATGGTTGCCTTCGGCCTCGCCTTGTCCTACACCTACTACTCCTCCATCCTCAAAGACGACAACGACGACGACCACTCAGCGCCGGCGGCATCACGATCTGAACACCGCACCGCCATCTTCTTCTTCCGCCTTGCATGGTTACCAGTGATATACGTATGAAGCATGGACGAATATTGAATCCTAAGCTACTGATTACGGTGGCATGCCATGGGCATGTCATTGGATCTCTGTCCGATCTCGTCGCCGCTATGAAGCAAGCTGAGTTGTATTAATCTGTCCTCTAGTTGCCACATGCCCCGGGTTGTACTAATAATCAGTTTATGTTGTGCTTGTTAAATCATTATTACCAGGGCCGGCCCATAGGCCGGGGCAACGGGGTGACCGCCCTGGGCCCCTGGGAGGTAGGGGCCCCGGCCCAGGTAATAATACAGTATACATGTTAGGATTTTTTTCTTCTTTAGGTCCAGAAAAATAAGAGGAAAAAAAAGAAGGCCCAAGCCCACCACGTTTTTTTTTTGAACGAAGGCTCAAGGGGAGCCCGACTTTGAATTAACAAAGCCATCAACCGGTCAGGATTACACAAGGCCACCGAGCAAGAGCGACCGAAAGATACAAGGGAGCTGACAGAGCAGTCTACAACGCAACGCACACTACTGCACACATAGAAATACACATGAAAACCTGCAAGTAATGTCGAAGCCCGCTGCACCTCGGCACCAAGAGCAAGGGAGCAGAGTAGCGAAGGGTCAGCCAAAGACCTGCAAGCACTACGCGCAGCCGGATCGTGGGATTGGGATCCCGAAACCTGTCTACCAACGCCGAAGAAGACCCCAATCCTCTCGCCTAGGCTCGAAGGCGCCGCACCGTCGGGTCGTTGGGCACTCACCCGAGAGCAAGAGCAGGTGCCGGTCGCAACCCAGAGCAGGCCTAACTCGCAGTCCTCACCACATCGGAGGCACACCATTAGCTGCGCTGCCACCTGCCCGGGCCGCCGAGAACAGAAGGAAAACCACTGGGAGGATTGATGAAGAACAGGCTGCAAGGACCCAAGGGCGAAGCTTGGGAAGCCTTTGCTTGGACTCGCCGCCGACGAGCTCTCTCCAACCTCGGCACCACTCACCCGGAGAACCAGACAACCCAAGGCGGCGCCTCCAAGGAGGGAACGACGTGCAGGACGCCGCCACCGCCCAACCCGAGACGAGTTTTGGGCTTTCACCCGGGATCTGGGACGGGGGTGGATACGGGAGACCTCAGCGGTGCCTCGAAGGAGAGAAGGCGATGCGCGCACGCACCCTCACCGCCGTGGTCGGAGAACCGACCAAGGGTTTCCCCCGGACTCGAGATATGCCACCGGCACCCCGCCAGCACCGGAACTGGCAGCGAACGCTGCAGATCGGACACAACCGGAGGGGGAGAGTGAGCAGAGGGGGAGAAGCAGCTCGGCCTTCAGATCTGGATCGGGCACAGCCGGGAAGGCCGCGCCACGACCACCGCCCACCGGATCCGCGCCGCCCGAGCAGCCGGGGACGCCGGCCGTCACATCCCGCGCACGCCGCCTGTCGCAGAGGCTGCGCCGCCTCGCCGTCCGGGGCCGCCGCCCCGGAGTCCGCGGTCCTGCGCGCAGAGACGCAGCGACGAGAGGCCTCACCGCCACCTTCATCGGCGGCCGCCGGGGCTTGCCAGGCGTCCCTCAGGTGGCGGCGAGGGGAGGAGGTGTAGGGTGGGGCGGCGGCGGCGGGGGGAAACCCTAGTCGCCCGCTGGGGACG